TAATGAGAATGGGGTGAGAGACAGCGTCAAAGGCCTTCCGGAAATCCAGGAAGACTACGTCCACTGCTACCCCTGCATCTAAGGATTTGGTGACCTGGTCATAGAAGGCCACCAGGCTGGTCTGACAGGACCTGCCGCTAATGAACCCATGTTGACAGGAGATGCATCAGATCTACCACACCCCAGGTAGCTAACTGCATAAGATTTCCAGCTGCTTTTTTTCCCAAAGCAGCACAAGGAAGCTGAGGTGGCATGGGACAGATGTTTACACAGGGTGCATGCTTGGTGCTCAACTATAGAACGGCAAGAACAAATTATGTCAACAGCTTTAACTTGCTAGTGGCAAAAAGCCACAGAGTGATATGAAAAAATGTAATTGTGTCTGTGGTTGTTTAAACAAGTGAGGGCTGGGGATGAGGAAATACTTTGTTTCAGCTTCACAGGTGCTTGAAACAGTTTGCTGCACTTTTCCACACACCATGATCCCTTACTGAAGACTCTGCCATCCCAGTGTGTGCCATAACACTGTGCTTCCTCAGAACAGTATCTACAATACTTTGATCTCTTTACTGTGGGCCTTCAGCCATACTCACTGCTGGTAACACATATTTTCTCTTATGACCAAAAATATAATACAGAGTAGTTTCCACAGCTCTAGTTTGAAGTATATTTTTGAGGATTTCAGCCTGCTAAGAAACATTCTGTCCCAAAAGGGACATAAAGCCCCCTATTTAAATCTGTTTCAGGTCAAGGTGGGATCACGGGACAGAGAAAGGGTGGGGGGAAGGGAAGGGAGAAGGAGGGGCAGCATGAGAAAAACTGCATATTTGAACTTTACAACTAAGAATTTCCTGAGACTTGAAAGGAGTAAGGCTATGCAGATGAATTTCTTTTAACTTTTCCTCATTAATGTATTCATGCAAATCAGCATGTCATATCATCCTTTTCACTGACTGCAAGAGAGATGTCTGAGGGAGTCTATCAACATAAATCACTATTATTACCTTATCATTTGTGGCCTGTAAATTTACAATGGGGACATGCCACCTGTGTGATATGAAAAATGATCTCCAATAGCATGAAACAGGAAAAAGATACACTACTGTACAACTGTTGTCCTGTAGGGACTCAGTTTGTCAGCTCTCCTACAGATATTGCTGCATAAATAACATGTTCACATCTTAAATTAAGTCTCCCCAATAAGAATTATATGACAACAACTAGCCCATCATATTTTTAGTTGTGTATCTAAACCCCCTTGCTGGATTAGAGATCAAGTCGGAGCCAGCTTATTAAATAAATATTGATGTGACGATGATAGGTATTTATAATTAGGATAGATAGAGAAGACCAGAGTAAGGCCCTCTGTATTACGTATGGCCTGCATACAGGATACAAGGAAACCTGCTGCGTAGGTGCCCACTGCCCAGCAGGCATGTCTGTAAATTCTTCTGGGGCACAGACCCTACTGTACCTGCCTCATGACAGCTATGGTAGGCCACAACAGGAACTGATCAGAGGAAAAGCTGCAGATCCACATTTAGGCCTGCTCCAGAAAACTCTTAGACAAACACCTATCCTGAGTAGTCTCACTGACTTCAGTTTGGGGCTTGAGTAGAAACCCTTACTACCAGCATCAGGCATTGCTGCTTTGGAAGAGGTTGGCATCTGGCTGATGGTGACAGTAGCCCCAAATCCAGTCCTTGAGTTGGGAGGAAGATGACACCTTCTCAGCTTCTCCACTTTGTACTGGCAGAGCTCAAGTAATTCATCCCTTTCTCTGAAGCTCTATGCTGCTGCAGTTGCACAGCTTCTGGTACACGTTAGCTCATTTAATACTAGCTTAGGTATCAAAACACTACATTGCAGTCGGCGGGTTAGACATACCTTATATGTTTTAGGGCCAGTAAGATCCATTAGTGCTAAGCCCCATTCCCACTAAATGATCTTAACGCACATAGTAGGTAGGCAACCGTTGATCCTTTGGGATCAGGGTGGTGCACACCAGGACCTTCGACACACATGCCTAAGCAGGAGTACAGAGCAGTGAAGGATGCCCAGACCTTCCATCCCCACTTTAGACAATTGAGACAGAATCCAAAGGCCAAACCGACTCCAATGTACGTATTGGATACCATTAAAGTGTTGTTTCAAGAAAAATGAGACAGCTTCATTTTCTGCCCAGTCTATCTGTACTTGTCAAGAGATTATTTCATTTTAAGAGCAGAGAGCTCTGAACACAATATTACTATGAAGATTTATTCCTTTCCCCTTCAAAATTATATTTCAGTTTTACATGGGTCCTATATGTCTATCATTGTAAGTCACCTCTACCATCACTGCATGCTACTTTTATATACATGCATACAAGCAAGTGGACATTAAACCCCCTCTTATCACAATTTAATTCCACTACGTAATATTTAAAGTGCAGTAAATTATTGCTAGAATGACCTGTTTAGTAAGGTTAGCTGTTGCAGCCGGCTTCCCTTGCATGTGTTGACTCAAAATGACAGTGAATTCTTGCTTTTTTTGTTTCTTCAAAACACTTCTATAGATCAGAACTGTTCCAACAACAAAACCAAGGTTACAGCAAAGCAAGTAAAGCAAATTTGCACTGGTGGTTTTTTGACTGCAGAAGAGCTGCAAAAGCAGGCCTTAGTCAGTACTTCCCTAGTATCTCAGTACACTGTTAACAACATTCAATTATACTTTGATGCCCAGTAATAGAAACAGTAGTACAGCATATGCTGGCCAGTAAACTTAATGTAAGCCAAAGCAAAAGTTGTTTTCACTCAGCTTTTAATCAAACTAGTATAATATTTAGAACAATTTTTTTTTCTAAAGCCAACATTATCTATCATTATTGGAAATGGAAACACAGCTCTGCAAAAACATCTTGGTAGTGAACACGTCCTACAAGTCCCAAGCAATCAGCTTGCATTTTTCTTTCCAACTATATTATGTCGATTTAGCACCTTATCCTTCTCAAAGCCTTTAATCTGAATAGAGTCTTGACAGCTTTTCAGTACAATTACACCAACGTAAATGAACCTTTCCAACCATCAGTTACAAGAGCCTACTGCTAAAGGGCTGTTATGAAATGATTACCATGGAACTGCAGCTGCATGAGGGCCAAGGCACTTGCAGAGACTCACATAATCTAAAACTCCTCAACCCACATGAAAACTTCACGGTGGCAGCTATGGCTCAGAAGTGCCGGGCAAATGCCTCCAGGGAGTAGTCTCGCTCACAGAAGTCAGCGCCCAAGGGCCGGGAGCTTTGCTGGGGCAGCTCAGCGGAAGCACCTGCATGCAAAGATGCACTCCCCAGAGGGGTCCCTCGGGGCCTCTGGACCAGGGCGCAGGCTGTTCCCCTGCACTGCCTCCAGCAGCAACTCACCCTCCGCTTTAACTGCAGAAAAGCGCAGGAGACACAGCCACGAGCGTAACCCGACTTCTTAGGACAGCGGGCGCCCACCTCCCCCAGCACCCAGCCCTGGGCCAGCACCTGCCAGCCGCCACCTCGTCGTCCTGCTGGTGCCCCCGGGGCTCTGGTACGAGCCCGCCCTAGCCAAGGCGGCCTGTGCCCGCGCCCGACCGCTTCCCCGCCGGATCCACGTCGCCCCCTTCCGCGCCCGGCCCCGGGGCCCGCAGGGGGGCACGGGAGGGAAAAGTTGGTGTCCGAGGCGCGGGGAGCCGGGGCAGGGCGGCTTGGCCGAGGGGCAGCGCCCCCCGCTCCGAGC